AATGACGCTGACGAATCAATTGCATTCAACTTCCTCCCCTCCTCCCCCTCTCCCTCTCCCAACCCCTCCTTCCTCCCCTTCCCTCCCCCTCCTCCCCCTCTCCCTACCCATCCCCTCTCCCTAACTCTCCCCTCCACCTTTCCCTAACTCTCCCCTCTCCCAACCCCTCCTCCCTCACCCCCTCTCCTCCCTCATACCCCTCTCCCAACCCCTCCTCCCTCATCCCCTCCCCCATCCTCCTCCTCCCCCTCTCCCCCTCCCTACCCCCCTCCTCCCCGGCATATGCAACAGCGTCCGAGGCTTCCACAAGCATTGCACACGAATGACAAGACAGGGGCGGTTGTGGGTAATGGTCGCAATCCACAAGCATTAACATAATTGCTAAAATCGTGCAGGTGATGATGTTAATGAGGAATAATCGCGAGAACGGAGGGCGGAGAGAGTGACAGTGACAGTGACAGTGATAGTGACAGCGACAGTGACAGGCAGGAGGGCGAATGCTAGGATTTGTGGTGAATATAGTGTTTTGTTATATATGGAGGGATAGGCATATTTGTATGGGTATTTGTACGGTGTATGGTTATGTTAATGTGTGTGCGTTGTATATAGATGTATTTGTTCGTGTGTGCATATTTATACATACATAAATACATACATACACACGTGAACACACACATACATACACACATAAGACCCATACATACATAACTTAATACGTAAACACAAAACACACACACAAATACCTATCCATCCATCTACACACACACACACACACACACACACACACACAAAACCGAGACCTGCAGACCAAGGAACGGGCCGAGGCAGTGAGATCACCCCTTAGGGCATCGTCGAACTCTCCGCCACACCATCGGAAAACCAGGGTGGAGAATAATCCTCGGTATTACCCTCACCCACTCGATCGCGAGGCCTGGACGAAACGATAGAATGACTGTGATATCTCTCAATACTGGATTATACAAGTGTGTAACTCTTTCGATTTTATGAATGCGTCGGGGGATGGTTAATGGTTCTGAAAAAAATATATATATTTTTTTCATTTGCCATTTCCAATAAGTAAGTTTTTTTTTCTTCGATAATTGACGAAAAACTAACAAAAAGAAAAACAAAAATCATCGGGATTTTTTTTCTTGACACTATGAAATAAAAATAAACAAAAATACCAAATCATCGTTTCTAAAAATTCAGACGCGAATTCTCCATCGTGACGTCATCCAGCCCGAATCATTTTCCTTCGATATCGCGCGTCAATCACAAATAGGCCAGCACGCCCACGCTTCACTTGCCGGCGACGTGGGCGGCCACAGCAATAACACCGCCCGCAAAAATGACGTGCAAAAGAATCCCAAGAAACCAATTGCTCCACTTTTTTTTTTAATCTGATAGTAGTCATATCGTTTCAGAAAATGACAAGGTTTACGAAGACCCTGATGTTGTCACTTACGGGCATAAACGAATATTCAATATTTAATATTTAATATTTAACTTTTATTTAACTGATATATATTTAACTAATATTTAACTAATCCATTACAAAATATATACAAACATTTACTTATTTTCCATATATATTTTAGTTACTAAAAACAAGACACTACAACACTTCACCAATAAACCTCCCCTCCCCCCCCACCCCTTCATTCCCTCCTACCCACCCCTCCGGCCTAATCTGCAGCGAGCGTAATTCCTTCCCAAACTGCTAATTACGCCACCAAAAACTGTCCCAATTATGTAGTCCTCCAGCAAATTAGGCCTCCCTCCCTCCCCCCCCCTTCCCCTCCCCGCCTGGCAATACCTCGTCCTCTCTTAACTTCGGAAATGCTTCTTATTTAGGGCAACCGAGGTGAGGCGAACCTTCTAAGACTCTGAGGAACTTGGGGTCTGAGGTCTGGCCGTAGTAAGAGGTGACCGTAGTAACGAGTGGGACGGCAGAATGTTACACTTGACCGCTATGCCGTTCTTTCTACGACAGAACTGGAGTATCTGATATGTCGTTATCGTTATCACTTTTTAATTTATTGATTTATTATCATTTTTTGGTGAATATGTTTTTGGACTAATTTACCTGCTCGGGTTTGGCTCCTAATGATATCTTTGGGAATGAGTGGAATATACATTTAATTTTGTATATTTATAGATATTTTTTGTCGTATGGAGAAAGATTTTTGGCATGTAATATCTATCCATTATTCTGTTCATTTCGTTTTTCATTGAAATATGTATCTTTTTTGTGAAAGTCGTTTTTCATCCTATCTAAAAAAAAATAAAATAAAACAATTCTATAACTTCAATGGACATCATCTACGAAATATCAATACGAAATCAAATATACATTCTGGACTCAACAACTTGAATCCCTCACAAGAAGCACTTTCACCTTACCGTACCGTGACGAAAATCCAAAAACAATTTCATTTTCCTTAACATAACCACTGGTATCCATGACCACACATCAACCCAAATCACACCTAAGACGTAC